CGCCATGGGACAATTAAAGAATGTGGAACGCACAGTAATTTAAAACAAGTCCCAAAATGAACATCACAGGCAATTTCTAAACAACAGATGCGCCAGAGATCAGCTTTAAATTTACACATACCTGCTCACCGAGACGTCCTGCAGCGTAAGTCTGCGAACCACGGTATACCTTACCACCCAAAAATGTTCCAGTGGTCACCACAATCGCTTTTGCCTTTAAAATCTAAAACTCAAAGTGCTTAGAGTACGTGAAATGGTCTAGAGAGAACAGAATTACTATGTAGTTCATGGCTTGATTTAAACGGAACTGTAACACTCAGAAAAGTTCACTGGCGCAAAAGCAGCAAAACTACAGTCAGTGAATAAGCTGTCGGCTGCATAGACGGAGATCCAGACTACAAAATAGCAGGTATTCTATATATTTCAGATGATTTCGCGTATATTCATCATGGAAATAGCAAGTTCAGAAAAGTAGCTCAGGGCAAAACGGGCTTAAACAGGGATGCGTTTGATGTGTGAATGCATCTCAACCACAATAATTTAGCTCTAACTGTTTTGGTCAAGAAGTAAATGCAGAAACAAAGTATTTAGAATTTTTCAGAAAGTTTCTGAGTCGGAATATGTCTGTTTTTTTTGATTTTTTCTCATGTTGCTTATTGAAAATCAGCAAGACAATCGCATTGTCTTTCGGGACAAATTACCTCCGTTAATTACATTTTCTTGTGATCACAGATCAGGCATCTCTAATGCGAAAACCAGCAATAATAAAAAGCAGAAAATATTAGGAAAGAAGGAAACTAAACACGTGGTGCACTTTCAGTACAACACTTTTGTACTGTGTCTACTGGAGCACGTAAAGAAAAAAAAAACAGCTATTAATAATCTGACCTGATCATCGCTTACAACACCAACAACCTTCGGTAATTTTCCTTCAGCATACTCGATGACAAGATCGTCAACCGCTCGTGCTGCAACATCAAGACCCGGCGTACGCTCCAGTATTTCCTGTAAGAAAAAAATTTTATCTGAACCAAAACCGGACATAACTCAGTCACAGTTCAAATTCAACATGATAAAGCTATGCTTAATGTAAACAAATACACGCGGTTTTTTATCAATTCAAAAGAGGGAACTAGATTAACTGCATGCAAAAACTGCGTCAACAACTTAGATGCAATAAGCCATTTAATCGACGACATTTCTAAAACGTCTCGAGAAAAAAAAAAACTTTATTTTACGAGCCTAAAGTTGCTTTGGTCCATCAGGATTTTCTCTTTTTTCTAAAGAAACCTGTTGCATATGTTTCTTGTAGAGTTTGCGGTCAATCTGCGCTCGAAGGCCGATTACTGCTAGACCGTGTGAGGTGTTAAGCGCATGATAATTGATGGCCGACTGATCACATATCCGAGCGCACAGGCCATCCAGCGCATCCACTTCGCGCACCAAATGACCTGCGTGAAACACC